TCACGGATCCTCACGTACGAAGATCCATTCGGAAAAATCTCCGGTGATCGTATAACTCGGTCCCAGTCTCAGGATCGAGGAAGGGCCCTCTCGTCTATCCCTTCAAGTGACTACCTGCAATGAGGGGTTGAGGGCGTTTCAGGAGTGAATAGTGCTGTATATGGTGTTAAGCTGACATTACTAAGAAAATTTTATCAGATATGTATTGTACAGTCTTCTGAGAACAATGAGGCTGAAATCTAAAGTCTTGACTTTCTCCTTTTAAAACTGAGTACATATAACGTAAACTATATAACTTCTTTTTAAACTTTGTATTTGAAGCATTTCCTTTTTCTTATCTTTAAGATTGCTTTTCGTGCATCCTTCGTCCCGTTTGTCAAGATGTTTATTGACCAGTTTGGCTACTGGGCACCGTGTATAACTGCTGTTTATCATGTCAGGTAAGGTACAACCAAATGATCTGCGAGGGGTATTCACTTATAGTAATCAACAAAACTATACCCACCTGGTCACCTCACTGTCTTCTCCCCAGAGGCCTCTTTTTGTCGTGGGGAGGCTGGGGAGGAGAAAAAAAGAGAGCGCCCGGGGGATGATGGGAAGGGGAACGAGACGATCATAGGATGTATCCAGTCTTCCTTGCAAATCCGGCGCCATCTTGAAATGCATCACAGAGCAGAGCGGTCAGCATTAGATCCCATCGGCCTTAACCCTTTGGTCACCTTATGAAGTTTACAAAACGTAGTATTCTTTATTGCTTCTACGCTATACTTAGATGAAATTTTTCTCAGCAAAAGTGTATGTCTCTTCAATTTTTAAGGAAAAAAATCATTGCGAAGAGCTTGAGTGGGTATCGAACCCAGAGTGTAGGTTTGATTTGAACTTATATAGCAACAACCCCAACCCTGAATAGAAGTTCGAGTCAGTGCTTAACCCAAATCACTATTTTCAGGGCTTAACCCTTATCACTTTATTCAGTGCTCACATGTAGATAATTAAGGACTGCTATTACAATGTTAAACCGCGTTTAGTGCTGTTAACTATTTAGGTTCTAAACGCGTTTACCTTTGGAGTGTATTTTAGGGGTTATTATGTGGAGGTGCTGAAATGATCCGCATTAAATAAAGTTCCAAATAGTGCCACATTATTAATGATTGTTCTCTATATATTACTTGCCGTATATGCCCTAGCCTGCGTTACTTAGCATGACCTAACCCCTTTTTAAACGTCTCGTGTAAAGCATAACTGTATTCTTCAGTCATTTCTTTGAAAACGCGAGTAGAATAATGAGCGCTCAGAGAGTTCTTCTGCGCCTTAAGTTTTATTCCCTTCCTTTTCAAACGGCAACCACTCAGATTTGATATGCGCTGATGCTAAAAATTGTCATAGAGATAATAAACTGTATCGAAAAACAAAATTGTGTTTTTGATTGATTACTGCGAGAATTCGTTTTCAGTATGGGTGTTATGGAAGGCCTTACTTATAATGAAACTGTGGACAGACTCAAGACACTTTACTGGCCAACACTAAAGGCATGCTGGATGATATGGCCCGCAGTCATGGTAAGTGCGTCAAGATTACCGGGCCTGGGTCGTAATTCGCCATTTCTAGTTTGCGCACGTGACTTAGTCGGTGTTTTGGCGAATTGTATTTGGAGACTGTTTTGTCATCCCAAAATTTTGGGGTGACCACAAAGAGCATTATGGTATGTTAGTATGGTTTTTTCTGGAGTGGTAAATACTGATATATCAAAATTCTAACATGACTCCCAGGCTTTAGGGACAAAATTGCACATTTTTCACGACTCCATTGTCTCGCAATTCCCAGAAAAGACTTGAGCACAAACTATACGAAATATAGAAATATGACCAGAAAGCCTCCGAGTCTTGTTAGAATTTTAACATATTGAACGTGCGCTATTTAGCCACATTAAATTTGGGAAATACTTAATAGCCATTTCCAGGTTTTCCTCATTGATCTTTTTCTAATTATCGCTGCAGATTGTTAATTTTAGGTTCATACCAGTTGCTCACCAGCTTAACTTTTGTCTGGCTGTCAGTTTGGTTTGGGCAACAATTTTGAGTGTCATACGAGCCTCCGAAGCAAGCCATGTTAAGGAAATTGAATCTAAAGACACCATATCTATAACAAACCTACTCTGTAGAAGCCACTCAGCAGTGACCATGAAGCGATGGTCCTTGGCTCTCTGAGGATAAGGCTCCTTGTGCCCACTACTTCCAAGCGCCTGCTACGCAGGCTAGTGAGGAAGAGAATTTTGTTGTAAATAAGACAGATTGACCATTCTTGAAAAGGAAAATATAAATAAAATCTACGTTCTATAAGGCCAGTCCCTATTTTACTTTCTCTGTATATAAGCACTGCTAATATTCGGCCGAATCAGTTAAGCCATAGTCATGCTTTAGCCCCGTCCACTCGGCGAATCCTAACATTTTTCTTTACCCGGATTCCTGTGGACGGAGCCTTAAACTTATCTGGGGCCAAT